ACATTTGGTCACAATTGCGTCAACATGACTTTTCTGCGTTACTTGGGATACGCTGGCGCTCGTGCTGCTGGTCAAGTAGTGAGCGATGACGAATTAAATTGTCCGGTGGAAATTCCCCGCGCGCCAGAGAGTCATTGGATGGTGGCTTTACCGCCCCACACGTACCCGCTGTCGATCGCACGGAAGAAAAGGCGAGGTGCTGGACAGGAACTCCCGCACCTGTCTCGCTCGCTCGCACTTATGTCAGTCTCCCACGCCACGCCTACTAAACCACCGGCGGCGCGACTCGACACCTAGTTTTATTACTCCGTGTGAAACGTTTGATAGGTCATCCAGCTGCATGATTTGCGTCCATAAGGTTCTCGTGATGTTCAGCATGTACTCATCGTCGTCTAATCTTTTTGTTTCCAGAGCATGGAGCGCCGTATGTAAACACTTCGGCTTTTTCATCGGCCAGAAATACACCTTTAGAGGACTGCACCACCTGGAGAACCTCGGGGCGTGCGTGGTGGTGGCCAACCATCAGCATGCCATCGACGGGACGGGTGAGACAACTTCCCCGACACGCGCAGGGCGTCGCAACGTGACGTAACGCTCAAAGAAAATGCGTGAAAACGAAAGTAAAGTAGCATTTCTGTGACCAGTTTTGGAAGCGTTTTTGAACGTGTTCCTAGTGTAAAGCGCTCTCAGGAAGCTGTAAACGCTTCAATGACGCTTTCAAATTGCAATTTTATTTTCGGTTTTGTGCGTTTTTGTCACGCGTTACGTTCGTGTTGTATCGGGTTGTATCATTGCACGGAGTGTTGTGGGGCTTGCCTACTCCTGCCGGCTGTAAGGGTCCGTAGCGCCTGGCCCGAGCAAGTAGGCAAACCCGCGACAGCACTCCGGGGCGTGCACTTGCACCCGGTACACGCGGTACGGCATCAGTGTTGCCAGACGAATTAGGCAAAATTCCCACGAATACGTGTGTAGTGGGCTCTTGTGGAACCCATCGGCACAATGTGAATGGACCTATGAACCAGGTTTCGTAGAGCGAACGCCACAGAGTTACGGGCTTGCCTACCCCCTCCTTTCCGTAAGGCGCCATGCAGTGGCCAGGCGCCTAGGAGGGAATTTAATCCCACAACATCGCGGCATCTGCTCTGGTGACCCGGTACCTTCTCGTGTGCAGGATGCATGCGTTTTCGTGGGAATATTTTACTACTCTATCTTTGTAATACTATTCACTCAAATAAACAGCATTTCGTTGTTATTAACTCGAATTTCTTTCTCTTTGCCAGGGATGAACAAATTGTGGGCTGCGCTCAAGAGGTGTACAATCGTGTCCAAAAAGGAGGTGCTGTACGCCGGGCCCTTCGGCCTGGGCCTCTGGCTGGGTGGCGTCATCTTCATCGACCGGCTCAACTCGGAGAAGTCTCGGGAGGCCATCAACAAAGTGTCGACAAAGCTCAAGAGGGACGACGTAAGTAGGAGAAAGGCTGTAGTAGATGTGTTGTGATCTCAGAGAGAGAGACGCTAGGCAGGCTGTCTCTTGACCGGTCCCCCGTGGGGGCAGGGGCACGGTGGGGAGGTGCAGGAGGAGGAGAGGGATGCTGTCGGGCTGATAGATAAACGACCGGCTGACTGGGCGGCTGCATCGTGCCACGCTGGCCGCCACGCTGCTGCCCAGCCAGACGGGCCGAGGACTTCGCCCCCGAGTCCTCTGCGTGCACGTGGACCCAAGCGCACCCCTCATCGAATTTGCAATGTCCGACTCGACTGATTTTTTTTTCTTTGCGCGGCGATGATATACAGCCCGTCCCGTGTCAGACGCTACGTCTGCTTTACGTAGTTGTAGAAGACGCAAAGACGAATGAACTTAGCTATTGGCCAGAAATAAAATTACGTACCGGCGCATTGTGAAGTTAGCGCGAGAGACGAAGAGGGGGGAGGGGGGGGGCGGCAATCTGCGTGGACGGCGTGGACCGGCCGGCCGGCCCAATGCGGGAGCGCGGCGCCACGCGCTGAAGGTGTGAAGTGGCACTGTACAGCCGCGGCCATACGCGTCCGAACTACCTCGGGCCTTGTTTGTCGATCTAAACGCGCCGCTTTCCCTGTGTCCATGTGCCCTGGCTGAGCTTGATGGTGTCCTGTAACAATGATTTGTGTTGTGCAGCTGAAGCTGTGGATGTTCCCGGAGGGCACCCGGCGCAACACTGGGGAGATCCACTCCTTCAAGAAGGGCGCCTTCCACGTCGCTATTGCTGCTGGGATCCCAGTCCTGCCCATCGTGTACTCGCAGTACTACTTCATGGACGAGAAGCAACGCAGATTTGACAATGGTACGTGGAGAGAGAGAGAGTATACTTCTGCGTGTGGAGTGCCCTGGGTTCGGTAGATCCCTAGGACTAAGCCATTCTCTGAATCTCGGTTGAATTGACGTGGGTCTTCTTTGCAGGCAACATCATCATCTCAATACTGCCGCCTATTCCGACTGAGGGAATGACCGTATCTGACGTCAACGATCTCATGGATCAAAGTCACAAGCTCATGAGTGAGGAATTCTCCAAAATCAGCGCCGCTGCACAAGTGGGAAAGAGCTTAAATTAAGTTACTTTCCTGTTTTTTAAATATTTTTTTTTCACTTCAATTTGCTGTTGATGTTTGTTTTCTTTGTTATGAATTCCGTAAGAACGAACATTGTGACAGAATGAATGTGTTGTACGTAGTTGTTGCTGGGCATCTTACTGCATCAATACTTTTTAATTATTTGATAAAGACTGTAGGTGTTGCTGTACTTTGTTTTTAAGAATCATGAAGCCTATGAGTGGACTTTGCCATTTTTTTCCCTCTTTATTGTTGTACTTTTCACTGCGCCTTTTATTATACTTGTAATTATTAGATTCTATGCGACTAGTCTAGACTTAGATACTAAATGTGCTTTCCTTTTCTTAATAAATGGAGATCAAAAACATGTGTACATGTATCTTATTCAACAAGGCAGTGTAATAATTCGTCACTTTCACAACAAGAAAAAGAGGGGGTTTGAACATTAAGTATTAAAGAAAACTATGAGCTGAATTTGTACTTTCACCTCTCAATATATTTACTGATGAATACCCTTAAATGGCTAGAGAGGTAAAAAAATTAAATTTCTCTTCAAAGAAAATTTTCCAAGATGAAAAAAAAAAGTTACTTTGGCTAATCTGGAATAGGTCGTGAACCCCCATCCGTAAAATGTCAACATAGATAAGCAATCGTAATTGATAATCCTTCAAAATCAAATGTATGAGTTCGTTAAAGGAAACATCAATGCGATAGCTACTTAAATCCATGGCACTTAAACCTTCCAATTTTCTGTAGAGAGGCTGCATTCATCAAATCTCCAAGCTTTCTACTGTGCACTCACACTTCCACACTTGTATCTCACGCACTGTTGCCCTACGCGTCACACCACGTCACCACATGATGCTCTGGTTCGTCCACTTCGTCCTCTCCCCCTCCTGCTGCTGCTGCTCCGTCGGGGACCCCCTTGCCGTGGAGTCCTCCTGCAGGTCGTCCGCCCCCTGCTCCCGGGGGCGGGCCGCGCTGGCGGGGGTGGGGGCGTGCCGGCTGGGGCCGGAAGGCCGCCGCTGGTACAAGGTGCGGGTGCGCTTCCTGGGCGCGCTGTAGTGCACCTCCCCGACATAGAAGCCCTGCGACAGCGGATTCCTGTTGCGCTTGGCCGTGCCCGTGCCACCGTCCAGGTTGGCGTGCAGGTTCCTCCGGCCGTAGCTCTCCACCATGCGGCCCCCGAACGGCGTCCTCGCGCGCAGGCTGGCGTCGCCCAGCGTCACCATGGACGGGATGATGACGCGGCCCTGCAACGCACGAGCACCACAAGTGAGCGCGAGCGCATCCTGCCGGAGGTGCGTGTGGAGGCGGAGACGTACGCCAAGTCTGGAGGGGTCCTCGCCGTCCGGGAACAACAAGTGGTCCGTCACCAGTTCCTCGCCGAAGCTGCGGTTGCGGCTGTGCTCCCCGCGGCCCTGCGTCTGGGACGGCAGCGGTGGCCTCGGGGGCGCGGGCCGGGGCGGCGGGGGCTGCGGCGCGGGCCGGCGGGCAGGCCTGGGGGGCGGCGCCGGTGCCGGGCCCCGGCGGCTGCTGCGGCTGCTCCTGCTGGGCCCCGGGTTGGTCGGAGCCTCTCTCAGAATCACCCTGGCCGAGACGGAAAAGAGTAAATGGACGTGAGAGGGTGACACTCGTAGCGGCAACTACTTTAACCTCGCTCGATGAGTCAGGCCACAGGTCGATCATGCCGCCAGCACGTAGGGTACGTAAGGTACGTAAAGCCCTCACCAGACAGACATGTGGCTGATAGCCGATTCGCGTGCTAGAGATAAAGTCGAAAGTCCGACTTTCGATGGAAGCAGTTTTAATGATAAAGCATTCGGTACTCGAATGTCAGCGCAAAAAAAGTACAATACATTGTAACAGTGGCCGAGGGCCCCCACGTGGTCGAGCGCCTGCTGGGCCGGGGTAGGCCACCCCGCGAGACACGCGCGTCGGGCGGGGCGGCCCACCCCGCACTCGGCGGGCGGCGAGACTGAGGCCTCGCTGGGGCTGTCGGACTCCACCTACTCTTTGGCAGCCGCCGGGGGCCATCTTCACGCCGCCTCTTGCAGCAGCTGTCTCTCTCGCTCTCCTTGCTTCCTCCGGCTCCGCTGCGTGCCCCTGTTGGCCGCGGGGCTGGACACGGGCGAGGGCGCGGCTGCCGTCGCTGCCGCAGCTGGCGCGCCCCCCGCACCGGTCTGCAGCTGGGCTGCTTGCGGGGCCGCTTGGTCGTTGTGGCGGGCTTCACCGTACCCCGCCCTGCTGCCCCGGTCGCCAGCTGCAGGTGCGGGGGCGGGGGCGTCGCGTCTCGGCCTGTAGGCAGAACGATTGTGTTGGACGTTGAACCGGCTACTCTCAGGAGAGTGACGTCGCCAAGACCACGCGGAGGTCCTCGCCCGGCTCGACCCACCTCGTGCTGCTCCGCTTGGTGTGGTAGGCCAGAGCCTGCTGATAAGGACTGGCCCTCAGCTCCTCGACGTACTGGTACGGGCTGGGCTCCAGGGCGGTGGAGAGGCGCTGGGCGTGGCCGTCGTGGAAGCCCGTCTGGTAGAACTTCTGGAGGTCGCAGTTGCACAGGTCGTACGGCACGATCAGGGGCTTGGGCGGAGGCTTGGGCGGCATGCCTGCGTACAGTAGAGCGGGGGGAAGTTTTGAGGATAATGCGAAGCCCAATGTCGTTTTTTTCCGCGCGCGGGTTTCAGTGCTTTACCTGATTCCGGGTGACCCCTGCGGGGCGGCAGACTGTACTTGACGGCCCCGCTGTCGGTCTGGTGGTAGACGACCTCCTCGGTGGTGATGTACTTGCCCTGCGACACCACTGGTGACCCCATCCCCATGTGGAGGGGGCCAAGGTTGCCACCGGGGGACACCTGGAGAGATAGCACAGATCCTTGAGTAAATGGGAACACGTTGGATTCACTCTGTGCGAGCGAGGTACTCGTCGCGTTCTGCACTCACCATGGGGGTTATCTCGGTTGGCAGTGGCAGGTGGTAGACGGAGGCGTCCACCATATCAATGAGACCGGACGACCGCGGCGGCGGGCCGTAGCCCTGGTGGCCCTGGTGCTTGTAGGCGGGCGGCCCCAGGCCGGAGCCCAGGCGGCCGAGCAGGGTGTTGTTGTTGTCGCCTGGCGGCGTGTCTCCCCTGGAAGAGGCGCTGACTCAGTTACCAGCCCGGTCGGCCACCGTAGCCCCTCCCCAACTGCGCAGCGTGCACTCACCCGTTGGCGTACTTGTCCGCGGTGTGGTCAAAGTCCAGGAAGCCGTTCTCGCTGCGGGGCGTGAGGCGCAGCTGCATCTCCTGCTGCTCCTGCAGCTGCAGCCGCTCCTCCTGACGCTTCTGCCGGCAGCGGGGCAGCTGCACGCAGACCAGGATGGCGGCGAGGAGGGCGAGTAGCTGTACGAGGACCAGCGCAGCGCCCGCGGCCGCCAGCACCTGCAGCTGCTCGCTCAGCCACCGGCCCAGCTTGGCGCCGCAGCCCTGCTCAAAACGAAATACAGAAAGTGTTTCATTGAGGTTTCAGGAAGTGGAGGAAAGAAAAGTTTCGGGCGGCTTCGGGTGTGAAACTGACAACAAATCGCGTAGAATTAGTGAAGAAAATGTGTGCAATTTATATTTTGTTGATGGTTTTGGAATTCCCCCTGGAGATCTGCGTGCCTTGCCGCGAATGCCGCGGGCCGCACTGGCTCCGCGTCCTTGCGACCTTGGGTGTTGCTGTCAGTGATTACCGAAGCGATCGGTTCGGGTTACTGCGATCGGATCGCACAAGAGGCCGGCCGCACCTAGAGCGAGGCCCGGAGCGCGCGTACTGTACCTCCATGTGGCGCTGTGGCCGGATGGTGTCCTGCTGCAGCGACTGGCAGAGGGTGAGGTTGGAGGGCCGCGGGTCCAGGAAGCTGTCCGAGTCGCGGGCGTTGTCCAGCTGGCAGCAGGACAGTGGCACGAGCAGGTCGCGCTGCCCGAGCTCGCGGAGGTGCCACCAGGACGAGTGGTAGTCCGCGCCGCCGGTCACTCCGCAGCACCTGAGCTGCATCAAAAGAGATATTACTCTCTGGACTCATGGACCCGTCTTTGGAGTGGAGAACCATACGCACCGAGACCTGGGCCAGGTCGAAGGCGGCGGTGAACTGCTCCTTGCCCGGCACGCCGTAGCCGCGCTGCAGAGCGTCCGTCAGCCTTGGGTGTTCCACGGCCAGCCCGAGGAACTGGGGGCCGAGCACGGCGAGCGCGCCCACGGCCATCTCCCCAAGCAGCAGCAGCGTGAGCAGGAACAGGTACTGCATGGCCATGGACAGGATTTATTAGAGGACATCTGAGAGTAGTGCGATGGGATGGGTTAGTTCGTCGCGCGCTGCTACATATACGCACCGTGCCCAGGATGCAGTAGGAGCGCAGGCAGGAGGCCCAGCAGCCCAGCACGGCCACGGCGCACACCACCAGCCCCAGCCCCATGGCGGCCAGCGACACGTAGTACAGCAAGGGCTGCGGCGGCGTGAGCGCCAGCCCCGTCCCGGACGCACTCGCCGCCAGGATGAGGCGCGACAGGAGCACGCGCGGCGCGTCCGACAGCAGCAGCGCGCCCAGCACCACGGCGCCCAGCCCCGACGCCTGGAACAAGCGCAGGATGCAGGACGAGCATGAGGGACAACGTGTGGGACGGGACGAGCATGAGGGACAACGTGTGGGACAGGACGAGCATGAGGGACAACATGTGGGACAGGACGAGCATGAGGGACAAGTGTGGGACAGGACGAGCATGATGGACAACGTGTGGGACAGGAGCACGCGCGCCCAGCACCTCGACAACCCAGCCGACTGATTCCGAAGAACCCTCTCCTATACCTTCCTTCAGTATAGCTCCGTTCTTGTCGCACTCATAAAGCAGAGACCCTTGAGGTCTCTTCAGAATCAGTCTGACGCCTGGAAGGAGCGCAGGATGCAGAACGAGCATGAGGGACAAAGCGTGGGACAGGACGAGCATGAGGGACAAGTGTGTTTATTCATCATTTAATCGATGGCGTGAGGAAGACGCGCGCCGGGCAGGTGGCCGGCGCCTGCCCTTCCGCGGTCAGGCGACACGATAAGGAGGCCGAGGGGCCACCAGGGTGACGATAAGAACACGACCACGAGGGGGACGTTGACGTCAAACACAATACAGCACAATCGGCACTCCATCTCGCGCTTTGCCGCGCTTAGCGAACGGCGTCAGGGAGAAAAGAGAACGTGGAAGGGGGAAGCGGGAAACATTCAACAAAACGCATAGACTTTTTCTTTGATCGGTGTTTTGATGCCAAGCGTGTCATACTGGGCGGCGTCATACCTCAGTCAACAAAGACGCTATTTCAGACGGGCATAATCACTTTTTTTCCGTCCACAATTTGCGAGTACTTTGACGCAGTTTGACGTTTGCATAATATTAACGGCGACATCACCGGGAAGCGAACAATCCTCGCGATGAGAGATGCACTCTGAAATACTTCACGAGCGCCTTCGCCTCCCCGCCGCCACTCTCCCGCAATCACTTTAGTTCTAACGACGATACATTTTTTTTGCCTCACCAATTGCCAAGAATAGTGGCCTAATCCATTATGCCATACATTATGCTAGTATCCCATGACCCGGCTAGAAGAAAACGAGCAGTAGGCGACGGAGCCCGAAGTGGACGAAAAAAAAGGACAGTACGGAGAGTTTAGCCGTGCGGGAGGAGTCAGCTCATTGCTGGACAGCTGGACGAGACCAATTAGCGCCTGCATAGCTTGCTCCGCATGCCACCTCCTGCATCTATCTATCTATCTATCTATCTATCTATCTATCTATCTATCTATCTATCTATCTATCTATCTATCTATCTATCTATCTGTCTGTCTGTCTGTCTGTCTGTCTGTCTGTCTATCTCTCCGTCCGTCTGTCCGTCCGTCTGTCCGTCCGTCCGTCCGTCCGTCCGTCCGTCCGTCCGTCCGTCCACCCGTCCATCCCTTTTTTATGAGGGGAGCGGACACTCTTCGCTATTTGGCTGTGGTTGCGAGGACAGGAGCGGGCGGGCGTGGACGCGCGTAGGCACTGCGTTTCCCATGTCACACTTGGTTGCCCCCGCTTCCGCCCCGCCACGCCCACCCCCTCCGTCGCCCCCCGTCCTCCCGTTCCCGCGCTCTCTGCACGCCGACTGCGCATGCGTCGTAAATACCAATATTGAAACTTGCGTCCCGTTACAGTGATTGCCGATGCCGACTGAGGTTTGCTCATCTCGGTTCGCTGCATCCAAACAGGACGTCACTCAACTACGTTCTGCCTTTGTCTTAATACGTGCTACTGATGCTACCAGAGAAACCCACCGGACTAAAGAAAAATAAAATATTTAATAAAATGTGTAACGATGTTATTCAACAAACTTTCTGTTTATTTCATGCAAACGTCGTCCAAATTAGCCCGCCCCACTTTCTACAAAGCCAAGAAAGAGTGTAAAAAAATGGGATAACGCAAAAAAAAAACTTCTTTAGCCACAAGCAGCACGGCGAATCGCATTACGAGCAGTCTGACCCAGCCAAGCAGAGCCGGCACTGGGCGTATTTCGCAAGACGGAACAAAAACCGATCTGAATCCGGATAATCACTGTCGATCGATTCCGCTCCGTCTGCGTGCGCCGCGCGGACGACACCTAACATAACAACTTATTCAATGCGGCGGGTGCCGGGGGTGAGGGGAGGGGAGCGGGGGGTGTGAATCAACAGGCGCTGCCACTGATTAGCAGAGCACTGCCGTGGAGGATCAGCGGAGAGCTAGTAGACTTTCCGATTCCCTCAGATATCAGTTGCCCAAATGTGACTGAGCCAACTGCAACTGCAAAAAACCTAATCAAGACACTAGCTGCGGACAGTATATAGGCCTATCGGAGATCATGCCCGGAAGTCAAAAGATTCCGGGAGCTCGGGGCGCGATTAATTCCCTGCTGCGTTCAAAAGACACTACAATAAAACCCGACTCACCAAAAATAGTGCGTTGCAGAACACCATGACCGCCTTGCCGACGCAGAGGTTCGCCATGGTGGCCGCCGGTGTCCGCTGGCCGCGGGCTCACTGGCCCCCGCGCACGCACTGCCCGCCGCGGCCCGTCAGGCGCGTCACGTCACCAGTCGCACGCGAGCCCCGCAGCCTGGCGCAGCCTCACCCGCAGGGCGTCGTCCTGCTGCTGCAGCGCGCCGCTCCATTGCCCATCCTCGCTCCACATCCCCCGCGACGGGCGCTACTGCTCGTCGTCAAGGCCGCCGCCGTCCTGGACCCCGGGGCTGGAGCACGGGCTGCAGCAGGCGCTGATCGGAAGCGCGGACTTCCAGCAGCGAGGAGTGTGAACGGCCTCCTCGGGAGGGAGTGCCCCTGTTGGACTCCAGGGCACTACGCAGTCCTGCGGGAGGTTCTGACTGCTGCTGCTGCAGCTGCTGCAGGTGGGCGCGGATGCGCGCGGGGCTGCCCGTCAGCGGTGGCGGTCAGCGCGGCTCCGGCACACGCGTATCCTTCCGGGCGGCGGTGGCGGCGCGGCTCGTCCGGCGGCGTACGATCGGCGACTGAATGACGGCGCAGCGTCCACTCGCCGCCGCCGCCCCCGCCGCTCCAGCCGCTCTGCCGCCGCGCGCCGCCACGCCCCCGCTCGAGCCGCACGAGTGAGCGGCCACCGCCGGGGGCGGCAGGGGGAGCCGCGAGGCCCACGAGCGCACACGGGACGGACCCTGAGGGCTGCGGCCGCCCCGACGAGCACCCCGTCTCCGGGACGACCACCCTCGGCAGACGACGCCCTCCCCGCCCGCGCAACCCCGCTGATGACGCCGGGGACGCCTCACTCTCCGAAGCGACAAAAACACGCAGGTGCGGCTGCACGGTCACGGTCTGCTTCACCAGCGAGCGGGGAGTCCGGCGGCATGCAGAGGAAGTGGACGGCGCTAGCTGCAGGGAGGGAGGGAGGGGGGGGGGAGGATTGAATGGGAAAGTGACGAGAGAGGCGAGGGGGCGGGCGTGGCCGCCGCGTCCCCCGTGCTCCAGGCGCACTCACATCCACCTCCACTGCGCACTCCAGCGGGGGACAGTGCAGCGCAGATTGCTGCCACTGGGCGGGCCGGTCCGAGCCGAGGAAGGCGTTGCTTCTGCTGCTGCTGCTTCTGCTGCTGTTCGCCAGCGGGTTGGGTCGGGGGCCGGGTCGGCGGTGACACAACTCCGCTGCACAACGGCCGGTTATTGTGTTTGCACGACGGTGGAGGAAGTCGCTTCCCGTCCGCGGGTAGCAGCAGTCTGTCGCGGGTCGAGTTGAAACTATTCTGCCGCCTCAGATGTTGCGGTTCGAGGAGAAAATAAAGATTCCCCTGATGTGTACCAGAGGGCTAACCCTCAGGTGATTGCCTGATTAACCCCGCGCACCCTTGTAGTTATGCTATGCTTTACCGCATTCTTATCTTACGTGCGGCTGGGTTGCATGTGCGCTCGGCCCGTAAGGGACCGTCCAGAAATTACGTCCGTTTTTA